TATCAGAAACTGACTCTTATACTTAATTTAACTGCTATAACTTTACAGTAATTGTGAAAGCATTTGTGACAATTTGATCTAGCCTGTAAACTGGCGTGACTCTTGTAACGTAGTTATTTGAGAATAAATATATATATATATATATCTGTTCAGTCATGACTCGACTTTAATCACGAATATTTTCTGTTCTACTCCTTAGACCTTTCTCTTTGCTACTTTTTCCAGCACCACATACTACTTAATGAATAATAGCTTTAATATTACCGGAGAATTACAGCTGATTTTCACAGAAGCCTCGTACATTTTTATCTACAGAAAACCATAGAGAATTTCGCTAAAGACTTACCTCAATAATTCTTGTCATATACAGCTCCGAATTTAACTTTCATCGATTCTCGACCAACAGTAGCTCGTTACAAAGCAAAGGACATAATTGACTACGATTATTGTGTTGTACATTCCCGAGTCTGAAACATTTACAACTTTATGTGAAAAAATATTGGTCCTCTCTAGAAAGCCGGTGTATGTTGTAAAATATTTATCTAACTAAACAACATTTTAGCTTAAATGTGTTAGCGATTTTAACATTTCGACCCGACCTGTAAACTGGCATTCACCACGTAACATGTAATTATTTAAGAATAACTAGTTTGCATTCGAAAACATGATAAAACTCTTTTAAAGATATACATACTTATTTGTAAACGGTCTCGTACGTCGAAATTGTTGATTGAAGTCACAGTTGTTAAAATCCGTTCAAAGATGGCATCACCCATAAACTTTTACTTGACGAGCACCTAACGCTTCAAGCATCATTTTACTTTTCTTGGTGCTAAAAATTGAGAGAAAAAAGAGTGCAGCAGAGCCAACGACAACCAGCAGTTTAAAGAACCCAGATGTGTTCAGTGTATATATCCATGAAGGTAAAACTCAAACTAAGACTGGCACAAGAGCTTAACTAGAAACCAGTAATCTACGAAAAAAATCGTAGGTACCATATACATTGGATTTTTAATCGCAAAAGAGAAACGGGCTTTAATTGATGAAAGAAAGGCTGAAGATAAAGGTTGGATAGATTTTGAGTAGTTTTTTAAAATGGACAGAAATCTAAAGTTCCTAAATACCGAAAAACTGTATCGCACAGGCATCTTTTTTCGGTTGTCTTTTATTACTAACATTATCGATTGCCAGTCATTAGGCCTGAAAAAGCAAGTAATAGAATAACGGAAGTAACGTAGGATAGGAAATTGCTAAATTGGAATATATCAAGTGAATCAGAGAAGGTACTTCGAAGGGGTTGTTAGTTTGGGGAGGAAAATTGGGAATTCTGCCTGCCTGAGGTTTTGGGGGAGGGGTGAGCTTAAATTCTGCATGTGGTGTGAAATGGCTTCGGCTATCTGCTACGCCAAAGGAACCATAATGGGCTGTATCCGAAAAAGTTTCTAATAGGTTGATCATACAGTACCTCTGTTTTTGGTATATTCTCCATGGTCAACCTTGTGACTTTGATGATATTTAATTGGATTGATTTTAACTATGGGAGGATTCACGGTATGTAATACATGTTGAATGAAAACATGACCACAATGTGTAAAGTTGTTAGCTATCAGAATGATCCATGTCATTGGGTGCACACTACCCGATTGAGTTTCGCGTGAGAGACTTTGGAGGGCAAAACTGAAAATCCGTCTTGTCTCAAAATGTAAAATTCTCAATTATTCATGAACTCTATTTTTTGAGTTTTGTCTTTGGTTTGTGACATCTCGAATCACCCGTTCGATTCCCAATCTTTCTCAGTACTTCTAATACTGTGACTATCATCTACTACTATGGGATTTTAATTGAAAATCTTTGGTGTATTAACTTCAAATGATATGAGTACGTGCCAATTCAGCGTTACAACTGACCGTCTGCGGACAAGCAAACTAATTGGCGTGAGCATTCTGGAAACGATGATCTAGGTTATATGTTTCTTTGATGCAACGAAGGTACGAATCGACTCATTTATTGAGAAGTGAAAGAGAAAGCGACTTGTTAGTGATATGTTCTTGTTGTTCAGGAAAGAATTCCCTGCTACCATATCTAGTTTAGTGACTAATACTGAGAAAGGATGGACTAGCGCGACAAGTATAATTGAGAACGGAAAGAGGATGCTTATAAGAGGTTCAAATAATATTCCTTCTTTGGGCGATCGGTAGTAGGTGATTATTAGGATCCTTAGGCGTACTAATATGCTCTAATATAATCTGGGTTGGTGAGGACAACGGCTGCACTTAGTTTAGGCACACCTTGACTTAATGCGAGAATGTGAGAAGCAGTTGACACAATATGTATTTAAACAACTAACGAGAATGTACCAATGGCTTCATAGACTAAAAACGAGGTGGAAGTAGAAGCAATAAAGAACTATTTCCAGGCGACTTTCGCTGAGAAGGCTGTTCCTGGTGAAGAGCAAGGCCAAAATACAAAATTACTAGATCCGCTATGTACTTTGAACCTTAATTGAAACAATGAACTAAAGTCCGAAAAGTCAACAGGACCGAGGGAACTACACAGAAATCTTGAGGCGAATTTGTGGTTAGTCTGTTCGATCCCTTTTGAGATGGTACTTTTTGCACTGAGCCATACTGATTTGTTCCTCTTTTGTTGTGTCGCTTGCATTGACTGGAATCGTGCATTTTGATTGTGAATTGAGAATCTATTCCAGAATAGGAAGCACTATGTGTTATAAAGCGACCAAATATTATCTATCGAACAGATCTGAACTATGCACAAGGATAGAATAAGATTTATTTGTTGCTGTTAATCTGAATAATGGAACAATTGTTGGTGGAATAACTCAGTATTTATATCTGTTTAGATAATGATGTACATTTGTATTTATGACGAATATTAGAACCGTCATTTACCCAAAAATACGAGTAGTCAACGTTATTTGTATCCAAGGTAACACACTTAAACAACATGTACAATCATTTTATAGTAAATGTGAAAGCAGTCGAAAATTAACAGAATAAATACAAAATAAGTTTGTCATACCATCTCCACAAATTTCACAACACTTGGATGCCACTCTGAAGACAGGATTCATTATGTTTCCTGGTCAAACTCAGTTACTGGAGGACTGAGGGAATAACCGTCACTCCATTCCATACTATAGGATCAAGAGGATTTTCAGTGAACATGTCAGCCTCAAACAGCACTAAAAACACCACAGAGAATAAAAAAATGGCCATGATTGTCCCCACATAAAAAATAACTAATTAAATAATGAACAACTTGGCCTCGAGAAACTACTTCCATGCACCACTATAGCAAATGAAAAATGGAGAGTCCTAAGATTTTTATTTTCTCCATTTAGAATTTAACAAAGTATTTGATGAGGTACAATAAAAGACTCCTACTAAAGCTTGAAAATCTCAGAAATGTAGGATCTCTCCCAATGAGGACCCATTGTTTCTCGTAGATTGAAGAGGGACAGTTAACGTGGATTCCAAATGTTTCTCCTGGAAACCATTACTCAGCGTGATAGCACAAAGCTCTTTTATGGGTCCTTTACCTTTATTATATATGTTGATGAACTCCCGGGTACTGCAGAATCACCGATACTGTTTCACGCTAATTAGTTATGTCAGCTAGTCTAAAATATGGCTGATGCATGGCAACACAACTAATCGGATCTACATACATATTAGGTATACATCAACAAATACGCATAGCACAAAGGAATGCCTGACGCCCGTGATTCAATGCGAGTGGTCTTGAGGTAACGGCAAACCACAAACCTATGACCACGGTCTACTGCCCTGTGGTTACACTTACGGGTGTCTGAACACAGAGGCTATAAGACGGCCATTTGCTAAAGGAATACTACCAATATCAGAACTCCTTGAAAAATTTTTAATGAGAAAGACTGTAGAAGGTCAAAAGCGGTGAAGCTCAAAAAAGTTATATCAGTTTACATTGGTAATAAACAAGAAAAAGACAACATACTGTGAAAACTCAGTAAGAAGATAACGCTTTTTCAGAAGGATTCCAATGAATCAATTATTAATCTGTATTAATGATCATGCCAGCAGCAAAGATTATCTGTTGGAATTTTTGTAATTGGGAATAAAAATCATCACCTGTCATTCTCATTGGTCCCTTAAGGATTGCTGAAGGTCGGTGTGCGGATGCAGTCATACCTGAATCATGTTGGTTGACCTTGAAAGGCTACTCCGTCTCTAGTATGTTCATGACATAGACTGTTGTCCACCATTTATCAAAACTTAGTGTTAAACCAGGAATAGAGTATTCTCTACTAAAAAACTGCTTTTTGTTGGTAAACCTTCATCAGTAACTGTATTCATACCGAGTTTACTGAAGGGTTTTCCTCAATGTTCTCCTTTATTTCCTCTTTTGGGTTATATATGTTGGAATATATATATATATATATATATATATATATATATATATATATCACTAATGTGAATTTAGTGGTTAGTACTTTACCCAAATATACGTTGCTGTGAAGCGAAAGTTTCTACGTTACTATCTTGGGTTACTTCTGGCTTATGTTAGCGGGTTTAAATCGCTATATATATATATACCTCTATAACTTACTATTATTGAGTAAACCACTCAAGTGGTTCGATCAGAAAATTTCAATCATAATTTCACTGGTCTTGTGATTTGTTGCGACTTCCAAATCTGAGTTACTAAACTGATGTTTCATTTCATGTCCAGCTTTTTAGGTCTACTCGTTTTATACTGCTGACTATAAAAATTTAACATTCTAGAATATGCATGCTTTCAAATCCCATGTTGTTAGTAAGTATTATTGGGAGTAATTGCTAATCATTTTATTAGTTCGAATCCGATGTGTCAGTTTCTGTACGTATATATATCTCATCCGCATTGTTAAAAAGTTTAGGTAATAAGATCATATATTTGCTGATGCACCCGTAAGTCTTAACCTTTCTCTCTACTGTGTTTCTTCAGGCATCGATTGATGTGTTCTTATTTTGCGTTACTAGTTGATGTGCGATAGACAATAGTTGATCAGTGTAGTTTTACTTAGAGTATAAAGTAATTGGAAAACACATCAAACCGAGAATTAAAGACATACATGGAAATAATGAACAGCAACTGGACAGAACTGGCAACAAAGTCCCAGGACAGAGTAGGTTGGAGAATGCTGGTCGGCGACCGATGCTCCATTGGGGGCTGGTAACAGGTGTACGTAAGTAAGTGTAAAGTAATTGTACGATTATGACCTTAGTGAATCAGTCAGTCAGTTGCAACGTAGAACTTCGTACGTATGTACATAAGTTCATGTTGCCATACCACATTATTAGCACAGAGACGCAAATGTCAAATCAAATCCCATAGTGATAAAGATGGTAGAGGTATTAATGTTATAATAAAGAAGACTAGGGTTCAAGATATTATTCAAAAAAAATATAATTCAGTGAGATAAGGTTAGAAAGAAAAAGGTAGAGGTGCTGGCTAATACAGAAGATTAGGATTTGAGAGAGCTTAAAGAGTGGATGCACCTGCGCCATTGCAAACGATTTTGAGCCATGTCGTTCAAGGTCTCTAACCATTGATGACTTTCGTCTCGCGGACCCCAACCAGGTAGTCTACATCTACCAACATGACTCAGTCCACTTGTCAGTGACTTCATGGATTTCTGCCATGTTTTGGTCTGGCCGCCCCTAGCTTTCTTCCAACCTACTCCTACACCACAAAACATAGCTCGTCGACGAAGTCGGTGGTTCGGCATACGCAACACATGTCCCAACCACCTCAACTGATGAAGTTTCACCACTTCATCGATTGATCTGCCATCCTTACCTAGTACTCGTTTCCTAACGACAGCATTGCTTACTCGGCTGTCCCACGATATACGAGCAATGCTTCTTAAACATCTATGATCGAATACTAGTAACCTACGAACATCTTCTACTCTTAACGGCCATGTTTCACAGCCATATAAGAGAACGGAACGAACTGCTGCGCAGTACACCCGCCCTTTGGTTAGCGAACGGATATCACGCCTACGCCATAAGTGACGCAGGTTGGCAAAAGCCAATCGAGCCTTCTGTATCCGAGCTGAGATTTCGTCAGTCACCAGACCATCAGCACTGATGAGACTCCCCAGATAAGTGAAGTGATCTACACGCTCGACTACTTCACTCCCTATCACTAGTTCAGGTGCCGAAGCAACCCAGTCTTGAAGCAACATTTTGCATTTCGAGGGGGAAAACCGCACCCCGAACATGCTCGCATTGTTGCTTATGGTAGTCAGAAGACTCTGCATTTTGTCAGCGTCTTCACCGAATAGAACTATGTCATCGGCATATTCTAGATCAGTAAGCGACTTTCCTGGTAGAAGGTCAACCCCTGAAAAATCTGACGAGCTTAATGTTAACTCTAAGAGGATGTCTACGACAAAGTTGAACAAGAATGGAGAGAGTGGACAGCCCTGACGGACACCACTTGAAGTAAAGAATTCCGGTGACAGCTCGCCATAAGCTATCACTCGACCAGTGGTGTTCGAGTAGAGTGCTTGTATAAGGTTAATGTACTTCTTTGGTACACCTTTCAATGACAGACACTGCCACAGAACCTCACGATCCACTGAGTCGAATGCCGCCTTAAGGTCCAGGAACACGACTATTGTCGGACGTCTAAATGTGTGTCTGTGTTCCAGGACCTGTCGTAGTGTGAAGATGTGGTCTATACAACCACGTCCAGGTCGAAAACCAGCCTGGTTTTCTCGAGTCTGCTCTTCACGAGCTCTAGTTAGACGTCTAAGTATAATCGAGGCTAACAATTTAGAAACTATATTAGTTAAACTTATTCCCCTGTGATTGTCACAAGAGGACTTCTGTCCTTTCTTGTAGATTGGGACAATTAGCGACTGAGACCAGTCAGATGGGATTACGTCCATTTCCCAGATTCTACCTAAGATCTCGGTCAGTTTAACCGTTAAAACTGGACCACCATCCTTAAACATCTCAGGGGTAAGCTTATCGGGACCTGCCGCTCTACCTCTCCTTAGATTTCCTATAGCTTTCTCAACTTCATGTAAACTGGGAGGACTTAAATCGATTTGCCATTCAGGATGACTGGAGATCGTCGGCAACCGAAGTGTGGCTGAAGGCCAGTTGAACTGATCCCTAAAGTGTTCTGCCCATCGGTCCAGCCTCCTAGATTGAGAATGGATAATAAGACCATCCTTTTCCGAGATAGTCTCACTTACATTCGGGTTCCTAATACCGGTTTCTTTGATAAGGCGGAAAAGTTGTCTAGTGTTGCCGATCGCCGCTGCCTTTTCCATCGCTTTTGCTTTCGCCACCCACCACTGTTCACGGTCGTTACGTAGGCTTTTTATAAGTCTGCGCCTAAGTTGAGTACGCTCTTCATCATGTTCAGAGTCAGGTGGGATGCGTTTTCGTGCATCCATCAGTTCGGTGGATGCGACTGAAATCCACGGCTTCATCCTAGCCTTATGGTTTACCTTGCTAGCAGATATCACTGCTGTTTCCACAGCCTTCTTTATATCATTCCAACCTGACTCCGGATGGGAATCACTTGCATGGCCGCCTAACTGTTTTTCTAGTTCCTCCTGAAATATTTTCTTAGCTTGATTATCATCAAGTAAAGCCCTAAGAGGCTTCCTTACGGTGTCTTTCCTACGTCCAGCAAGCCTCAAACAAATACGTGCTCGCACTAGGGCATGATCTGAATCTAAACATGTGCCCCAGAACGAGCGACAGTCCTCTATCGAACCCCTCCATCGGTGGCTGATGGCGATATGATCTAGTTGTGTCCAACGTTGAGACGACTTCGGGGGTCGCCAGGTCAAAAGGTGTTTTTCCTTATGCTTAAAATGAGTGTTTGCTAGAAATAGTTGGTTATCTGAGCACAGTTGCAACAGACGGTCGCCATTGTCTGTTCTTTGAGCCGCGAGACCGTAACATCCACCTAGGTGTCTTTCATTTTCACTTAGTCTACCTACTTGTGCATTGAAGTCACCAGCCATTATAACTATATCAGAGCGCTTAACCTTTTGGAGGAGGTCCGAAAGCTTTCTGTAAAACTCGTCTTTTACATCATCTGGGCTGCAGTCAGTGGGGGCGTAGGCTGATATGACGAAGAGGCAACGGCGAGTGTCCCTATCTTTCCGAGTCCTTACTGTCCCGTTCAGTCGGACGGCGCACAAGCGACTATCTACTGGGATCCAGTCGAGGAGGGATTGTTCTGCCCTACGACTCAATGCTATACCTACACCGGCGAGGCCCCTAGAAGCAGCATCAGGGCTACCGGATACACGAAGGGTAAATCGAGCTGCTTCTTTATCTTGACATGGTGAGGTCAAATGAGTGATGCTACTCGGATCCTGTATGCGCGTTTCCGAGACGCAGCACACATCGATGGAACGAGATTCTAAAGTCCTAGCTAATGATGCCTGTCGCCCTATTTGACACAATGTGCGTACATTGAATGCTCCAACATGTAGTTTGGAACGGGGTTTAAGGAGACCAGGAACGACGTTTCGCAAACTCGCATCGTCTGCATTAGCTGTGCACTGTAATAAATGAATGTGAGAAGAGTTAGTTGTGGAGATAAGAGAGGTATTAGGGAATGTAGGAAGGATTTGATTTTGAACAATTTTGTCTCGTGTGCTGTTGCGGGTATGAGGGCGGTTATCACTTCCCGGCTGCCCACACCGTGGAAGGTTGTTTCTTGACGAACCTGAAAAGGAAGATGGATTAGTGTTGGTGCGTGACCGCAGAGTCCAAGGGACAACTGCTTGAGGCCGGTCACGCACGGCCTTTTTATGAAATGTTTTTTGAGGATTAGCTCCGTTCTTAAAGGCCCTTAGTGGGCACCCTTACCCAAGGAGACGGAAATCCGTGAGGTAGGGGAGGTGTGACATTTTTAGGGCCGACCTTTTCTAACCCTTCCTTCCTTGTGAGAAGGCAGCATCGCTGCAGATGCTGGTTGTCCGAGGGAAACACCTTACTGCTGTCACACCCCTCTGCAGTCAGCAGTACGACTTCGCCCTCACACCTTGGGTAGCTGCTTTTAGTCTCATCGTTCTCCAATCGACCTGCCTGGCATGGTAGGACCTGCAGGAACATGTGTTCCAGCCAGTATAGCTCGGTTGGGTCATCACGATAAGCAAGCCCGACCACCACGTCAAGGTAGCAGCTTCGGTCGGGACCTTAGTGAATCAATCATTAGTAATATTAACTCACAGATATTAGACTTTAGCCAGTAACCGGTGATTGATGTTCCTGATTATTCCCTCCTTATTTTCCACTTGTAAATGTCAGGTCGGCCGTTCTAACCTGGTACAAACTGTTGGGTATAAAATGTGTTACTAGACCTGACCCGCCTCCTGCTTGCGAAACATCACCTATTCTGTATAAGAGAGTTGATCGACTGAGTTTAGCCATTGTTTTCTCCAAAGAACTGCTAACATCTAATGGAAATAATAAGATAATCTTACAAGGCAGTGGAATGCTTGTGTATCTAATCGTTACCATACAGAGTTTTTCATGGTTTATTCAGTTTCTTACTTAACCCCTTTTCAAACGCCTTGCTTTTTCCCCGTAACTAGTAGTTTTAGTATTAATGTTTACTGCTTTAAGCATACCAGTAACTGAATAACAGTAGCATTATGTATTTCATAATGTTTTCACTTTTTCAACACAATTCTTTTTACAGATGATTTTATAAATCGAAAGCATCATGTCTCTCTCATCAAGTCGCACAAAGTGTCTTGCAGTTACTTTCTGCAGGCATGTGCAACCGTCACATTTCGCCTTGCATATTTTTGATTTATTTATGTCCTTCAAGTATATCAACGTCACGGATCAAAACAATTCATGGCTTTCTCAGGCTATCCAAAACTGTTATCTTATTGGCTATGTTGAACCATACTTATTGTTAATAGGTGGATCTTCTTCTCATTTACAAACCATAAAGTTGTCATGGGATAGAGGTCAAATTAAGTCTCCTTTTGGTTTCTCGATCAACTCAGTGTGTATGTATTCAGTTAGTTCGTAGTTAAATATACTTTTTGTAATATATCATGTAATAATTGGCTCACTATCCATTTTATTGATAACTTGTGGTATTCATGAGAATCTTTACCTAATATTTTTTTGTAGTCCCGTGTGTATAATGGTGACAGTTTTAATCTTCTAATTATATTACCAAGATCAAGTAATACTCTAAAGCTGTTAGTGAAATACTCAGTCTCATAGATTCTACAGTTAACAGTTTCAATTCAAAACCAGAGAATAGGGTCGGTTTACACTAATCTTCTTGAACAGGTTCAACATTCTCTAAGAATAAAAATAGCGCGAGTTTATAAATCTGGGAAAAAAAATGCTCAATAAGTGGTTTTAGTTTCCTTAGTTAAAACGAGTATAATCTAGACCAGAACATCTGGTCATTATTGAACAACGCCAATCTAATATCTTTTTCAGGTCCCTCAGGAAACACCCACATTGTGGGCAGCTAGGAAGTAACATCCACCCTTATGCCTGAAACAACACACGAGACCGAACTGTTCACAATCAAATCCTTTCTACGACACATAACATCCCCCTTATCTTCACGACTAGCTCACATCCCTTTATCACCCCGCACCACTAAAGCAAACGATTCGAGTTCACGAAATGTTATTCCTAACCTACTGAAAGCTCGTTCTAGACTACATGTTGGAGCTTTTAATGTTCGAACCTTGTGTCAAATAGGATAACAGGGTTTCTTAGCTAGGGCTCTAGAATCCTGCGCCGTCGATGTATGCTGCGTCTCGGAAACGCGCATACAGGAGCCGAGTAGCGTCATTCACTTGACCTCTTGATGTCAAGATAAAGAAGCAGCTCGATTCACTCTTCGTGTATCTGGAAGCCCTGCTGCTGCTGCTTCCCGTCACATCACTGGTGTAGGTATGGTATTAGGTCCTAGGGCAGTACCAGTTCTCTTAGACTGGATCCCGGTAGACAGTCGCTCAAGCGCTGTCAGACTTAACGGGACGGTACGAACTTGTAAAGACAGGGAAACTCGCCGTTTTCTCTTCGTAGTATCTGCCTACGCTCTCACTGACTGTAGTTCAGACGAGGTAAAAGATGAATTCCACAGAAACCTTTCGGCGCTCAGATATAGTGAAGATAGCTGCTGACTTCAATGCTCAAGTAGGTAAACTCAGCAAAAAAGAAGTACACCTAGGTGGATCGTATGGTGTCGCGGCTCAAAGAACAGATAATGGCGACAATCTGCCGCAGCTGTGCTTAGATAATCGCCTGTTCCTAGCAAACACTAACTTTGAGCATAGGGAAAAACATCTCTTGACCTGGCGACCGCCGAAGCCGACCCGACTAGATCACATCTCCGTCAGCCATCGTTGGGGAGGCTCTATGGAAGACTGCCGCTCATTCTGGAGCACTTGTTTAGATTCAGATTATGCCCTGGTACGACTTACTGGACATAGGAAAGACGCCGCAAGGAAACCTCTTGGGGTTCTACTTGATGATAGCGGAGCTAAGAATTATTTCAGGAAAGACTGGAAAAAGTTGGGTAGCGATTTAAACGATGCCCACCCTGAAGCTGCTTGGAATGAACACAAAGTTGAGGGGAAGCGATAGATTCCAGTAGCATCTGCGGAACTGATGGATGCTTGAAAACTCATCCCGTCTGGCTCTGAGTATGATGAGGAGCGGAGTCAGCTTAATGGCAGGCTGATAAAAAGCCTACGCAACGACTGAGAACACTGGTGGATGGCGAAAGCAAAGCGATGGAAAATGCAGCTGCTGTAGGTAATAGTAGACAGCTATATCATAAGATTCAGCAGCCCTGGCGTTAGTTTGTTTCCAAACTTCCTGTTTCACTACAAGTGTCGAATTAATTTAAAAATTTAAACGTCTTTTATACAAGTTTACGCTTTATGTTACCTCTACGAGTTTACGTGTACGTGCTAAAGCACATATATCGAATGAGCAGGAAAGAGGGTTGGAATCCGCATCTCTAAACGCATTCCATGGAGGCTTGGATCAAGAAGTCAGCGTTTTTTGCGGTGCAATCGTATGCTGTCTGTTTAGCAGTAGCCATGGTGTCTCTGTCTCAAAGCCCTTCAATATAACTGATAAACAAAGAACGTTGAATATACTACAGTTTGCTGAAGCGATTCCCATAAAAGTACTTAAACCAATTTGACGCATCTAAAATGGCGTAATTATCAATTCTGCTTTGCCGTGGTGAACTAATTCATAATTGTTTGTTGCTCAATTCTTCTCTCTCTGATACAAGTTATTAGTCCTTCTCATATGAGTTGTACTCAGTTAGTCAATTTTATCTTACGACTACAGTATATCTTATTTCTAAAAAATATTGTATCTGTCTTCTCGGTTGCTTATTCTATAATCTTTTTATATTCAGACCATAAATATTAACATTGTATAGCATACAAATATCTCATACATATCCATACATAGTGCCCTTTTTATTAATCTTCACTCATAAGCATTTTTCCAACATAATGATGCAAAGTATGTAAGCTGACTTTTAATGAATAATACTATTATGATTAGGTTATCAGAAGCTGATGAGAAACCACAATATAAAATGAACTCATGTTATTGTGCTTCGTTAATTGTTCTCCCTTTACTTAAATGTATTCATGGGAATGTATTTATGGAATAACATTATTTTATTTATATACTGTATAGCATCATATATAATGGTCTTATTTGTTCATTATGCTGTAATATTGATTAATTGATTGTATATTTTCGTCTTAGAGTTCATAACAATTAAGGGTATTTATGCATTGCCTGTTTACATATTCTGGACTTTTCTATGAATTCTTTTAAAATTTGTACTTATGTTTATAGCAGATGTTGGCAATTGGTTTTTGGAAACTTCTCACTTCAATGCAATGCGCTTGGAAGAGCTTATATGTCAATTAGTTTGGCAAGTTACGCAGTCTGAACCTAGTTGCTCATTGGAACGTCTAGTCAGATATCTTGAAGATATATATCTTGACACAAGACTTCCTATCCCCTCACTAGAAGATGTGAACAATTCTTTGGTAGTCCTAACTCGAGCTGGAGCAATATATTTTAGCGGTAATTAAAATTTTGTTATTTTCCTTGTACTAACTGATGACCGAGTGTTTAACTCAGTCAGCTACAGCGTAGAACTTCGAACGTACGTACATCAGTCCAAGTTTCCGTATCACATTAGCACAGAGACGCGATTGTCACGTCGAATCACATAGTAATAGGTGTAGTGGAAGTATTACGAATAATCGAAGACATTAGGGTTCTAAGATATTATTCAAGAAGTAGGCTTATCCAAATTAAATATGAGCGAACTCTAATGTAATTGGTGGCACTACAGTTGTGACTGATTGAGCAACGCTGTTATTAGGAAGCGGGTGCTAGGTAAGGATGGCAGGTCAATAGATGAAGTAATGAACCTTCATCAATTGAGGTGGTTGAGACATGTGTTGCGTATGCCTAAACACCGACTGCCTCGACGAGCTTTGTTTTGTAGTGTAGGAGTGGATTGGAAGAAAGTTAGGGGTGGCCATACCAAAACGTGGCAGAAATCCATTAAGTCACTGACAAGTGGACTGAGTCATGTTGGTAATTGTCGACTACCTGGTTGGGGTCCGCGAGATGATAATAATCGATGGCTATAGACCCTGAATGACATGGTTCAAAGCCGTTTGCAATGGCGCAGGTGCATTTATTCTTTGTGTTCTCTCAAATCCTAATCTTCTGGATTTTTCAACACCTTTAGTTTCGACTTTCTAAACTTTTTTCACTGAATCATACTTCTTGAATAATATCTTCTAATCCTAACCTCTCCGATTACTTCTAATTCCCTTACTACCTCTTCAACTATTGGATTTGAATCGACAATTACATCTCTGTGCTGATGTGGTATGGCGACATGAACTGATGTACTTACGTACGAAGTTCTACGTTGCATCTGACTGACTGACTGACTGCACAAACAACTATCTACAGGGATCCAGTATAGGAGGGATAGTTCAGCTCTACGACTCAATGCTATACATACGCCAGCAAGACCCCTGGAAGCAGCCTTAAAGCTACCGGATACACGAAGGGCAAGTTGAGTTGCTTCTTTATCTTGACATGGTGAGGTCAAGTGAATGATGCTACTTGGATCCTGTATGCGTGTTTCCGAGACGCAGCATACATCGATGGCACGAGATTCTTAAGTCCTAGCTAACGAAGCCTGTTGTCCTATTTGACACAATCTCCGGACATTAAAAGCTCCAACATGTAGTTTGGAACGAGGTTTCAAGAGACCAGGAATGACGTTTCGTGAACTCGCATCGTTTGCCTTAGCGGTGCAGTGAGATAAGGGAATGTGAGTAGATTTAGTTGTGGAGAGAAGACAGGTATGTGTGGGTGTAGGAAGGATTTGATTTCGACCAATTTGGTCTCGTGTGCTGTTACGGGTATGAGGGTGGTCGACACTTCCCGGCTGCCCACACCGTGGAAGGTTGTTTCTTGAGTGACCTGAAGAGGAAGATAGATTAGTGTTGGTCTTGGAGACCTGGGAGCGTGACCGCAGAGCCCAGGGGACAACTGCTTGAGGCCAGTCACGCACGGCATTCTGATAAAAAGTGTTTTGAGTATTAGCTCCGTTCTTAAAGGCCCTTTACCGATGGAGACGGAAATATTTGAGGTAAGGTGAGGTGTGACATTTTTAGGGTCGACCTTTTCTAACTCACGCCTTCCTTGTGAGAAGGCAACATCGCTGCAGATTCTGCTTGTTGTCCGATGGAAACACCTAACTGCTGTCACACCCCTCTGCAGTCAGCAATACGACTTCACCCCCAGACCTTGAGTAGCTGCTTTTAGTCTCGTCGTCTTTCAATCGACCTGCCTGGCATGGTAGAACCTTCAGGAATATATGTTCCATCCAATATAGCTCGGTTGGGTCATAACAATAGGCAAGCCCGACCACTACTTCAAGGTAGTAGCTACGGTCTGGCTCGATTGGCTTTCGCCAACTTGCGTCATTTGTGGCGTAGGCGAGATCCAGACAGATTCAACGCAGAACTTCCTACGTCAGACATCATTTCAGGTTGCCATACCGAATTAGCACAGACGCAACTGTCAGTTCAAATCCAATAGTGGTAGAGATAGTAAGAGTATTACTGGTAATGGAGAAGATTAGGATTCGAAGATATGATTCGTAGGTTTCTTGTTTTCGACCATAGGTATCTCCGTAGCATTGCTCGTATATCGTGGGACAACCGAGTAAGCAATTGTTAGTGGGACGTAGATAGAATTAAAGCATGACTACGTTGCTACGCGCTGATTGGCTAATTTCCTACCCAATTACCGCCTGGTCGATTCTTGGAGGACAGGGTAGAAAATTCTTGTATTGTTAGCTGCGTGCTGATTGGCTAAATCTAATACAGTCGATCACGTGAATTTCTATCCAGAGGCTTCTCATATAAATGCTATAAATGAACTAACGTTGTATCTATTTTTGCCTTCGCCATCACCTTTGGCTTCTTATTTCCACTTAACCTTTCTATTTGGAAATATAATCTTTTCCTGTTCAACCATGTTTTTGATTCTTAGGAACTTGTCCAGTGTATTGTAGTCAGAGAATACTAAGCAATAGGATTTAGCTGGGAATTATCTAAGCAAGCGTTACAATAGCAATGCTGTCGTTAGGAAACGATTTCTGTGTGGGGATGACAAATCAATAGATGAAGTAGTGAAACTTCATCAGTTGAGGTGGTTGGGACACGCGTTACGTATGCCAAACCACCGACTGCCTCGACGAGCAATGTTTTGTGATGTAGGAATAGGCTGAAAGAAAGCGATGGGCGGCGTGATCAAACACGTCACAAATCCATGAAGTCACAGACAAGTGGACTGAGCCATGTAAGTAGGTGTAGACTATCAGGTTGGGGTCCGCAAGACGTATGTCACCGAGACGTTGAACGACATGGCTCGATATCGTTTGCAATGGTGCAGGTGCATCCATTCTTTGTGTTTTTTCTCAAATTAAAGTCTTATGAATTCTTAATCACCTTAATCTTTTTCTTTTTAAGTTTATTTCACTAGATTCTACTTCTAGAATAATATCTTCAAATTCTAGCCTTCTTCATGACCATTGAAACCTCTACTACCTCTATCACAATGGGATTTGATTTGACATTTGCGTCTCTGTGCTAATGTTGTTTGGCAACCTGAACTTATGTACATACATACGAAGTTCTACGTTGCAACTGACTGACTGAGTTCTGTATCAGTGCTGAAATTTCATCGGTTTCCAGGCCATCACCACTGATGAGGCTCACAAGATAGGTGAAGCGGTCAAAACGCTCAGCTGCTTCACTTCCTATCACCAGTTCAGGTTCCGATGTAATTCCCTACCTTAGCTGTAACCTTGACGTAGTGGTCGGGCGTGCCTATCGTAATGACAGCAGCTGCATTTTCCATCGCTTTGCTTTCGCCATCCACCAGTGTTCTCAGTCGTTGCGTAGGCTTTTTATCAGCCTGCCATTAAGCTGACTCCGCTCCTCATCATACTCAGAGCCAGACGGGATGAGTTTTCAAGCATCCATCAGTTCCGCAGATGCTACTGGAATCTATCGCTTCCCCTCAACTTTGTGTTCATTCCAAGCAGCTTCAGGGTGGGCATCGTTTAAATCGCTACCCAACTTTTTCCAGTCTTTCCTGAAATAATTCTTAGCTCCGCTATCATCAAGTAGAACCCCAAGAGGTTTCCTTGCGGCGTCTTTCCTATGTCCAGTAAGTCGTACCAGGGCATAATCTGAATCTAAACAAGTGCTCCAGAATGAGCGGCAGTCTTCCATAGAGCCTCCCCAACGATGGCTGACGGAGATGTGATCTAGTCGGGTCGGCTTCGGCGGTCGCCAGGTCAAGAGATGTTTTTCCCTATGCTCAAAGTTAGTGTTTGCTAGGAACAGGCGATTATCTAAGCACAGCTGCGGCAGATTGTCGCCATTATCTGTTCTTTGAGCCGCGACACCATACGATCCACCTAGGTGTACTTCTTTTTTGCTGAGTTTACCTACTTGAGCATTGAAGTCAGCAGCCATCTTCACTATATCTGAGCGCCGAAAGGTTTCTGTGGAATTCATCTTTTACCTCGTCTGAACTACAGTCAGTGAGAGCGTAGGCAGATACTACGAAGAGGAAACGGCGAGTTTCCCTGTCTTTACAAGTTCGTACCGTCCCGTTAAGTCTGACAGCGCTTGAGCGACTGTCTACCGGGATCCAGTCTAAGAGAACTGGTACTGCCCTAGGACCTAATACCATACCTACACCAGTGATGTGACGGGAAGCAGCAGCAGCAGGGCTTCCAGATACACGAAGAGTGAATCGAGCTGCTTCTTTATCTTGACATCAAGAGGTCAAGTGAATGACGCTACTCGGCTCCTGTATGCGCGTTTCCGAGACGCAGCATACATCGACGGCGCAGGATTCTAGAGCCCTAGCTAAGAAACCCTGTTATCCTATTTGACACAAGGTTCGAACATTAAAAGCTCCAACATGTAGTCTAGAACGAGCTTTCAGTAGGTTAGGAATAACATTTCGTGAACTCGAATCGTTTGCTTTAGTGGTGCGGGGTGATAAAGGGATGTGAGCTAGTCGTGAAGATAAGGGGGATGTTATGGGTTGTAGAAAGGATATGAATATATCTAGGCTAAATGTCCTTAGTTTGTAGACGGTTGGTATCCAACGTGTTATTATACTTCGTAATTCGCTCTTCTAGACAATCGTTACTGAATAGCCCCTGTCGATTTATATATTAGAAGACGAATTCGAAGTGTTAAATTTTTTTGTCTTTACCAAACAATAATGGACCAGCAGACGTCAAGCACACAGAAAAGGGCAAGAATTGGCTTATTGATGACTGAATTAATAAGATTTGAGTGTAGAATTATATATGTAATAAATTGTTTAAGTCATTGGGATATTTAAGAGATTTAACATTAAATCGAATAGAATGAATCTGCACGTAGTTGGTATGCGATGTTCAGTCGTACCAACTCATACAAAGTAGGCAATAATAAAAGCAAATGATACATTAAATTAAATAAATAAATTGTTGCTAAACAAATGTCTTGGTTAAAGTGGTTATTCGAAATGCATATCCAAATTAAATATGAGCGAACTCTAATGTAATTGGTGGCACTACAGTTGTGACTGATTAGGTCTCGTGTGCTGTAACGGGAATCAGGGCGGTTGTCACTTCCTGGCTGCCCACACCGTGGGTGTTTCTTGAGTGACCTGAAAAGGAAGGTAGATTAGCGTTTATCTTAGAGACCTAGGAGCGTTACCGCAGAACCCAAGGGACAACTGCTTGTTGCCGGTCACGCACGGCCTTTTTATGCGAAGTATTTAAAGTGTTAGCTCCGTTCTTGTTTAAAAGGCCTTACCGCCGGAGGCGGAAATATTTGAGGTAAGGTGAGGTGTGACATTTTTAGGGTCGACCTTTTCTAACTCACGCCTTCCTTGTGAGAAGGCAACATCGCTGCAGATTCTGCTTGTTGTCCGATGGAAACACCTAACTGCTGTCACACCCCTCTGCAGTCAGCAATACGACTTCACCCTCAGAACTTGAGTAGCTGCTTTTAGTCTCATCGTTCTCCAATCGACCTGCCTCAAATGGTAGAACCTACAGGAATATATGTTCGAACCAATATAACTCGGTTGAGTCATTACGATAGGCACGCCCGACCACCAGGAGAAGGTAGCAGCTACGGTCGGGATTATTGAATTTGCGAAATACCATACAGCAACATTTTCTGTTCTTCAAAACTACGCGGATTCATATCAGAGGCTGGAACGTGTGGCAAACGATATTTGTTTGTAAACATTATCCTGCATGTTTAATCGGTGTTTAGTGAAATCATGTTTGTTAGTTCGTCAAATCTTTCATCTGAATGTGTAAATATCCTGAAAGGTAAGGTACTATACTAACCCATAAATCGGTCAAAAGTCTTTTTATCTCCTGCTAACTGTGACTGATCGTTGTTTTAGGTTTTCAGGTCATGAGTATGTACATTTAGATGTTTTGGTAAGTAGCGAAAATTTTTATGTGTAACCCCATGGATTGCTTGTATATATTTAAGTAGAGTTTGTGGTGCGTTGAGCTTGAAGCCAATTTTTATCACAGAATAACATCAGGACCATTGAAAAACACGGGCACTCGACAACTGCTTTATCGTGGAGTCGAGCTCCTCAGGATTTTTCTTATGACTGATGTAAACCCGTTATGTTAGTTATGTTAGCTGTATATCCTGTTTTTTTCTACCTTCCTTCTCTCTATATATCTATTTATTTTTTCAAAATAGGTAATGGATACAATCTTCTAACACCTGAAAAGTTAGCCGTTGCAAAATGGCTTGAAAGTATACCGGAAACATGTACAGACTCTGAAAGTGTCTTGAATTGCCCAAGCATAAAAACAGCCCCTCTGGCAGAAACAGAGTCATTTGGACAAAATGCATTCTCATCTCATCCAATTAGTCGTCCTGATCTTGCTCAAAACAACGACCGGCTTCGTACTACTAAACATAAACTTGTTAATTGTACACATTATCGAAATACTAGTGCTCTGATACCAGTTCCTGAAAATCTAGAACTAGATCACTTGCTCAGGTCTTTCAGTGCACATTCCATAAGTTCATTTCACCTCCAAAACAATCACATAAATCATTGTAATCCAGTTTTATGTGTTTCACCTACCAATAGGTCATTATATCCTAATTCTCAGTCTTCCCTGAAATTTAAAATAAATGGAATCAATAATAATCGCACATCTAAATTTATTAAATCAGCAACAGAAAATGTTAATAAGTGTGATTCACTTGGTGTGAGCGATCCTCTGAAATTGCATACAGCTCGATCCGAAATCAAACTCCCACATCATTCACGAATTGAAACACCTTTGTTCACCAAATATACTGAAATACCATCAAGCAAAAAATGTAAGTTATTTTCTGTAAATTAACTTTATAGACAGCTTAAATCTTTTTTTAGTTTTGATAAATGAATTTAAGATGTATATATATATATATATATATATATATATATATATATATATATATATATATATATATAAAGAGACTGCCTATGTGATGGGCTGTATAATTCCTGGATAATATCCGGACAACTCTCATAGTTATCAATATTTCTGCGAATATTGTATTTCACATTTATTTCTTGATGTTTCATTTTCGTTCTTCGAATTCCTACCTCTTTTAAGTGAGGATCTTCAAGACTGTTGCAGTTGTTTGCGACAGCAGTCATACGTACATATTACTTAAAACGACAAGAAAATTTCTTCACCTACTTCTGTTAATTCATGGGTTCTCCTAACTTGATGACCTTATTAAAAGCCTTGTTTATATTTACTAATGTGGTGGGTACTACTTACAAAGTAGCATGTAGCTTAGCGTTGCATAGAGGAAACTGTCAGAGCGAATAATACAGGAAAATCCTATTGTATGGCGTAATCAATGTAGTTTAAAGTCTGGAAGACATGTATGGGACGACAGTCACTAATCTACCCATTTTGCAAAAGAATGTTTCAAGATACTGTGTAGATATTTTGTTGCTAAACTGCGTCTTATCTAATCAAATATATTCAATCTAATTTGGACTTCTTTGTTCTTTACACTACTTCACTTTTCATAAGATTTATGTTGGTCAAAAGAAATTAACGTCCTCTCAGGCTAGCGATATATTTTCAATTAATATTCAGTAATACAAATGGAAAGTACATACATAATTCTCAATTTACCATCATCGAATTCACTGTCTAGCATTGAATAAAGTATATTGTTCATTAAAAAAATAATCTTATATAATAATTTATAGTTCACCTCGATAAATAAAAGTGTAATAAATTTGTATTTCTTTAAATGTATATTTCGATTCTTAAAACTTCAGTACTCTATCTAAAAAGTTTTCAGTTGTTTCGATGAGTTGTATATGCATTATAGTGATTTAGTAATGAAGTGCATTTTGCTTTTAAGCAATTATATAATCAATTAGTTCGCTAATGGTATATATATATATATATATATATATATATATATTGATTTAGTGCAAGGTGTTCAGCTCAAGGCTATTCTGGAAAAAAGGCATTTGAATCTTCACAAAATATTGTCATGCAAACATTGTAGTTTTATTTGAAGAAGTGATAATTTAGTTCCACAATAACTGAAATATATAACACTCGTATCTCGTCACAAACATAGACAGTTTTTGAATTAAATATTTCATTCAGAAAACCATACTGTCAAGATAGTAGAACGTGTTTTAATTTATTAAATTTGTACTCATCATAATATTGTCACTGTAATGCTAATTACTACAGTGTGTATAATTTTCACATCCCCTGTTTCTTATCCCCTACATTGCAATGTACAATCTGTTGCAACTTGAAACGGTACACATTCTTATTAGGTGTCACATTATCTTGAATATTTTTGAAGCAATATCAGTTAGTTAGCCGACTAAAACGTAAAACACCGTACATACGTACATCAGTTCAAGTTGCCATATCACATTAGTACAAAGACGCAATTGCCTATCCAAATCCCATAGTGGTAGAGATAGTAGAAGTATTAGCGGTAATGGAGATCAGGAATCGAAGACATTATCCAAGAAGTATAATTCAGTGAAATGAATGTAGACAGAGAAAAATAGAGGTAATGAGGAATTCAGAAGACTAGAATTTGAAAGAACACCTGCACCTGCGGCATTGCAAAGAATTTTGAGCCATGTCGTTCAAGGTCTCTAACGATTGGTTACTATCGTCTCGCGGACCTCAACCTGGTAATCTACACTTATTAACATGATTCAATCCACTTTTCAGTGACTTCATGGAGTTGCGACATGTTTGGTCACGCCAACGATTGCTTTCTTCCCACCTATTCCTACATCGCAAAACATAGCTCGACGAGACAGTCGGTGGTTTAGCAACCAACCATCCAACCTGATGAAGTTTCACTATTTCGTCCATCGATCTGTCATGCTTGCCTACTACCCGTTTCCTAACAACAGCATTGCTCACTCGACTGTCCCATGATACACGAGCACCGACCGAAGCTACTACCTTGAAGTAGTGGTCGGGCTTGCCTATTGTTATGACCCAACCGAGCTATATTGGATGGAACATATATTCCTGAAGGTTCTACCATGCCAGGCAGGTCGATTGAAAGACGACGAGACTAAAAGCAGCTACTCAAGGTCTGGGGGTGAAGTCGTATTGCTGACTGCAGAGGGGTGTGACAGCAGTTAGGTGTTTCCATCGGACAACAAGCAGAATCTGCAGCGATGTTGCCTTCTCACAAGGAAGGCGTGAGTTAGAAAAGGTCGACCCTAAAAATGTCACACCTCACCTTACCTCAAATATTTCCGTCTCCATCGGTAAAGGGCCTTTAAGAACGGAGCTAATACTCAAAACACTTTTTATCAGAATGCCGTGCGTGACTGGCCTCAAGCAGTTGTCCCCTGGGCTCTGCGGTCACGCTCCCAGGTCTCCAAGACCAACACTAATCTATCTTCCTCTTCAGGTCACTCAAGAAACAACCTTCCACGGTGTGGGCAGCCGGGAAGTGTCGACCACCCTCATACCCGTAACAGCACACGAGACCAAATTGGTCGAAATCAAATCCTTCCTACACCCACACATACCTGTCTTCTCTCCACAACTAAATCTACTCACATTCCCTTATCTCACTGCACCGCTAAGGCAAACGATGCGAGTTCACGAAACGTCATTCCTGGTCTCTTGAAACCTCGTTCCAAACTACATGTTGGAGCTTTTAATGTCCGGAGATTGTGTCAAATAGGACAACAGGCTTCGTTAGCTAGGACTTAAGAATCTCGTGCCATCGATGTATGCTGCGTCTCGGAAACACGCATACAGGATCCAAGTAGCATCATTCACTTGACCTCACCATGTCAAGATAAAGAAGCAACTCAACTTGCCCTTCGTGTATCCGGTAGCTTTAAGGCTGCTTGCAGGGGTCTTGCTGGTGTAGGTACAGCATTGAGTCGTAGAGCTGAACTATCACTCCATGACTGGATCCCAGTAGATAGTCGCTTGTGCGCGGTCCGACTAAACGGGACAATAAGGATTCGGAAGTATAGGGACACTCGTCGTTGCCTCTTCGTCATATCAGCCTACGCCTCCACTGACTGCAGTTCAGACAAGGTTAAAGATGAGTTTTACAGAAAGCTTTCGGACCTCCTCCAAAAAGCTAGGTGCTATGATGTAGTATTAATGGCTGGTGACTTCAATGCTCAAGTAGGTGTACTAAGTGAGCACGAGAGACACGTGGGTGGATGTTATGGTGCTCAGATAAACGCCTATTCTTAGCAAACACTAAATTTAGGCATAAGGAAAAGCATTTATTGACCTGGCGACCCCCAAAGTCGCCTTAACAGTTAGGCGACCATGCAAGTGATTCCCAAATGGATTCAAGATATCAAGAAGGCTGTGGAAACAGCAGTGATATCTGCTAGCAAGGTAAACCATAAGGCTAGGATGAAGCCGTGGATTTCAGTCGCATCCACCGAACTGATGGATTCTCGAAAACGCATCCCACCTGACTCTAAACATGATGAAGAGCGTAGTCAGCTTAGGCACAGACTTATAAAAAGCCTACGTAACGACCGTGAACAGTGGTGGGTGGCGAAAGCAAAAGCGATGGAAAAGGCAGCGGCGATAGGCAACAGTAGACAACTTTTCCGCCTTATCAAAGAAACCGGTATTAGGAACCCGAATGTGAATGAGACTGGAAAAGGATGGTCTTATTATCCATTCTCAATCCAGGAGACTGGACCGATGGGCAGAACACTAGGGACCAGTTCAACTGGCCTCGAGCCACACTTCGGTGGCCAACGATCCTCAGTCATCCTGAATGGCCAATCGATTTAAGTCCTACTAGTCTACATGAATTTTAGAACTTACTTTTTTTACTCACGCCTGTTACCCCTAATGGAGCATAGGCTGCCTTGAGGGTTCCATGTGAGGGCTTGTCTAGTGACGCAGTTGGGTGCTTTTCGTAGTGTGTGTCCTATCCACTTCCACTGCTTCTTCCTGCTTTCCTCCTCCATTGCAATCTGGTTTGTTTTCTCCCACAGTACGTTGTTGCTGATTGTGTCTGGCCAACGAATACAAAGTATTTTGCGTAAACAACTGTTAATAAACACTTGTATCTTCTGGATGACGCCTTTCGTAGTTCTCCAAGTTTCCACTCCATACAGTAGAACTGTCTTCACATTTGTATTGAAAATACTGATTTTTGTTTTCGTTGAAAGTTGTTTGGAGTTCCAGATATTTTTCAACTGTAGAAATGCAGTCCTTGCTTTGTCAACCTGCGCCCTCACATCTGCATCGGATCCACCTTGATTGTCGATGATTTTGCCCAGATATGTAAAGGTGCTAACGTCCTCCAAGGCATCTCCATCAAGAGTGATTTGGTTGGTGCATGTTGTGTTGCATCGGAGAATTTTGCTTTTGCCTTTATGTATGTTGAGACCTACTGCTGCAGAGGCTGCTACACTGGTCGTCTTCTCTTGCATTTGTTGTTGCGTGTGAGATAGAAGAGCCAGATCATCTGCGAAGTCCAGATCGTCCAGCTGCGTCTTAACTGTCCAGTTGATACCGTGCTCCTCTCCAGATGCCGACGTCTTCATAATCCAGTCGATGAGCAGGAGAAAGAGAAAGGGTTAGAGTAAGCAACCTTGCCTGACACTGGTCTTCACCTCGAAAGAGTCTGTTAGCTGTCCATCGTGTACGATTTTGCAGTTGAATCCATCATAAGAATTCCGTATGATGTTAACTATTTTCTCAGGCACACCGTAGTGTCGAAGAATCCTCCACAGTGTTTTCCTATCCACGCTATCGAAGGCTTTCTCGTAGTCGATGAAGTTGATGTAGAGTGGTGAGTTCCATTCAATTGATTGTTCC